TCCACCATCCACCACCTATGGACGCGGCGGGTAGCCAGCAGCTAGGCTCACGGGCAACCTTCCTTCCGGGTCAAGGCAAAGCCAAGAAGATCGGAGGTGCGATCGGGCGTTGTGGCTAACAAGGCTAAGCAACCTGTCAACGCGTGTCGCACACGCCTGGCTCAGTCACAGCCAAACAGGTTTTAACATTTACAACCATACAGAACTGGTGATGGAAATAGAAAGCAAGTCCATGTTTGATTTCCAAGGTTCGCAAGAAGCCCAAAAGCAAAATCGACTAGGCTCACGTTCACTTCGTTTGACAACCTACCCTGTTTAGAAATATAACTGGAAAACATAGCCTGTACAGTATTGATGGATTAACCAATTCCTTCAGGGATCTCATTCACCCCTGACACCAATTTCTGACGGTCAGAACAACTTGACCATAGCAAAACTATTTTCAACGATGTTAATGAGGCTCATACGGTTTAAGTTCTCGAAGTTCGTCTGGTCTCTCTTCCAGAAGCCAGGGATAAGGAACCTGGAGTCCAGTAATCAGGAAGAAGTTCATCTTCTAGCAGTTGCGCAACCATTCCCCGAAGTCATGATACCAGTGTTGACATAAGACTTACATACTCCGAACGAATTTTTTTCGAACAGTCCTAGTTTTACGCCGTGTTTCTTCTGAAAAGAGTAACAGGAGTTCCATGTTTTTGAATCATCAGTCCAGTCGTGATGGCCAGCAAAGTTCCAGTGTCTGGCAGACCTAAATACCTCGTATACGCGTGCTCTGCACAACCTGATCCCCACTACATGTCGGGCTTCTATAAACGTGGTCTGAATAGGGGAGCGTGCCATAATGGCCACATCAAGAAGGAGCCGTTGCCGTTGAAGTCCCAGCCCTTAGAAGGACTGAATTATCTCGTCAGCTGGCAACCTTCGGATTCACGACACTAAGCTCGTCCTGATAGATTTTTTATGCATTAGATGTATGGCAAAAGACGCCTGGATATCCCGTGAGGATGGATGCCCCAGTGATGCTCCTAGTCTCTTGCCTTCCCCATGCTGCAGTATACTGTCGGAGCCTGTCAATCGAGAATGCATTGGGCGCAGTTGCCGGCCGAGGCGGTGTCAAGGCCTATATGCAAGATGTGCCACAGCCGTCTGTACGGAATTAATGATAACCTCGCGTAGACTGTGCTACCAATAAACATTTGCACGAATCACAAGGAACCCAATGCGTCTGCAGCTTTACCCCTTGTTGGGGCCTAACTCTGGTCAATGGCAAGTTGCGTTTCCTCAAATGCTCCCCAGGCAAAACGTTATGGTCGGTATTGTCAAGATCAGAGACGAAGTAATGCTCTATTTTGACGTTCGCATAGTTGTTGACAAAGCGGACGTTGCATCCTACATTCATATGGCTTTACCTTTTTATGAAGTCGACACCGTTAATGGGAATGCCATTTTTGACTTGTGGGTAGCAAAGTACTTG